TAAACAACTTAAAAGAGGAAAATTTGCTTTGGCTGACAGTTTCAGAGATTTCAGTCCACAGTTTATTGACTGCATTGCTTTGGGCTGATGGCGAAGGAGAATATCATGCCAGGGAGTGTGTGCTAGAGCAAAGCAGCCAGGAAACAGAGGTGGGAGGGGCAGGGGGGAGGAGAGGTGGAGTAGGGCCTTAGGGATTTGTAAAAAACAACTAAATAAGGAAAAATTATTGACAGAAACTATATCAAGTTGTCATTGAATATCTTTTTGTGGTGTCATTATGGCACAGAATTTCATTAATATAATTTTAAATTTTCTACTTTTTCTTTTAAAATTATACTTTAACTAGAAACGCTCTTAAAAAAAACAACACAGCAGTTAACAACAACAAAAAACCATTAAAAAGAAGTAATATGCTGGGAATAAAGCTCAAATCCTGCATATGCTAGATAAGCACTTTACCACTGAGGTATATCCCTGTCCATATTGAGTGGTTAGAAACTGACTCTTAAATTTGCATTTGCAAAGGAGTTAAGTACATTATGATCTTGGTAACACAGAATATAAACAAAAGACTTCTTTGAACAGACTGAAGTCATTGTTTGACATTTTCCAGGTAAATCAGATGTCTATGCCAACTATAGGGTGCTGACAACTTACCTTCTTTCTGTATAGAGATCAAGGCACCAAGATGTCCTAGAGTTTTGCAGTAGAATGTAGTGTGAGCCAGGGAAGCTGATACTTAACTGTATGTATGACCTGACATTTCTAAATACTAGGTATGTGACCTTGAGTAAGTGATCTGTCTTATTCACTGTGTTCTTCATTTTAAAAATGAAGAGATTACATCTGATGATTTCAAAACCATCTTTCACCTCTAAAATGCTTTTTTTCATGTTAAGATTCTTTTTCGGTGGCCTGCCTTGCAAGCGCAAGGACCTGAATTCAATCCCCGGTACAAAAAAAAAAAAAAAAAAAAAAATTCTTTGGCTATAGCATGTTTACAAAAGTGAGGTAGCTGGTTTGTAAAGAAGTCTACGTGTTCTTTCCTATGAGCTTGGTCTTCTGTATTACAAAGTGGTATATTATTTAATTTTTATCTCTGAGATTCAAATGAAATGCTTAAGATAATTTTCCCCAATAATTATGTGTGTGTATTTAAGGTGACAGTATGTATTCACAATTAGAGAATTTATCCTTCTTTCCATGGTGTAGCATTGTTTTTATTTAGGCTATGTTTCAGTTGAGAGTGGGAATTGGCAAATTTAGTGAGTTAAACTCTATGTTTTCCAGAAAAGGTATTTCTGTAACCATGATACTTAGCCTCATGTAGGCACTAAATAATGATTATTTAATCTTTTTGAATATATTATATGCTATTAAAATAATTAGGAGTTATGGGGACAAAGTTGTCATATTTAGAACCATAAATGGCAACTTGATTCTGAGAGCTCTGAAGAATTACAAACAAATTTCATTTTCAAAGAATTTGAGGTGGAAGACAGAATCATGGAAATGGTGAGGTGAGGAACAGAATAACAGAACATCCTTGGCATTAATCCAAAGATATCAGAGTCAATACCAAAGCTTAGAATAAAGCCTGGTGAGGAATACTATTTATTATTCTGTCTTTGACCTTTATTTTTTAAATTATTTAGATTTGCTTTATGTACAATAAAACCTACCCATTTTAGGTATCAAATTCATAGAGTTCTAATCAGTGGATATAGTCATATAACCACCACACAGAATATTTTCACTACAACAAAAATTTCATCCCTGACATGAATCTTACTTGGTTAGGGTATATGATCTTGGTAATTTATTGCATTCTGTTTGTCAGTATCTGACTAAGGATTTTTTCATCTAAGTTCATTAAGGAGATTGGTCTGTAATTCTCCTTTTTGGTTGTATCCTCTGGTTTTTGTGTCAGAGTAATACTTTCTTACAAGAATGACTTTGGGAGTATTGCTTTACTTTCAATTTCATTTAAGAGTTTCAGAAGTAGTGGCATTAGATCGTCTCTAAATTTCTTGTAGAATTCAGCAGTGAATTCATCAAGACCTGGGCTTTTCTTGATTGGTAGGTTTTAATTACATCTTCGATTTCATGGACTGATAATTGGGTTATATGAAAATTTTTATATCTTCTTGATCAAGTTTTAGCAATTCATATGTATCTAGAAATCTGTCCATTTCTGGATTTCTGCAGGACCCACTGTGATTTTGCCCTTTTCATTCTTAATTGCACAGATTTGAGTCTTTTCTTTCCTTTTTTTGATTTGTTGAAATTCTGGAATCTTGACTATTATGTCTTGGGGTAGATTTTTTTTTTTTTTTTATCATGACTAACTGGAGTTTTATATGCCTCATTTGTTTGTTTGTTTCCTTTTTCTTTTTCTGGTACTGGGGATTGAACTCAGGACCTACTGCTTAGGAGGCAGGTGTATGCCACTAAACTAAATCCCCACACCCTGCCTCATTTATCTGTATGTCAAATTCTTTTTCCTGCTCGGGAAGTTTTCTGCCGTTACTTCTGTGAACAACTTTGCACTATATGCTGTTTTTTCATTGATTCCAATAAAAATTGTTTTCTTCTTTGCATCATCTAGCAGCTGTTAGATTGATTTTTCATGGTCCTTTTTTGTTTTTCCACTTCTCTTTTGTACCAGGAATCGAACCCAGGGCCTTGTGCTTGCTGGCCAGGTGCATGCCACTGAGCTTTATCCCTGGCACATACTTTACTATTTTTTGCTAAGGGTTTGTCAGTTTAATCTTTCAAAGAACTAACTCTTCGATTGATTGATTCTTTATATTGTTTCTTAGTCTTAAGTGTATTAATTTTTGCTCTAATCTTTATAATTTCCTCCCTCATATGAGTTTTGAGTTTAATTTGCTCTTCTTTTTCTAGAAGCTTGAGCTTCAACATTAGGTGGTTTATTTCAGCTCACTCTGTTTTTCTGATGTGGGAATTTACTGCTATAAATTCCCCTTGTAGCCTTGCTTTCATTGCATCCCATAAGTTCCAGTATGTCGTATTGGCATTATCATTTAATTGTAGAAACTGTCTAATTTCTTCTTTAGTTTTATCTGTGACCCCTTGGTTCTTCAGGAGGGTATTTATTTAATTTCCATATTTTTATGATTTCTTTTGCCATTGATTTCTAGATCTGATAATATGCATGAGAATTTCAGTTCCTTTGAATTTACTTAAGTGTGTTCTATGAGCTAGTATGTGGTCTATTTTAGACAAAGTTTCATGTGCTGCTGAGAAGAATGTATGTTCTGTTGCTGTAGGGTGGAATACTCTAGATATCTACTAAATCTATTCAAAGATTTTGTTCAGCTCTAATATTTGATTTGTGTGTGTGTGTGTGTGTGTGTGTGTGTGTGTGTAGGTGATCTATCTGTGGGGTACTGAGGTCCTTCATTGCTCATTTGATTTTTCATATACACCAATATTTGTTTTATATAGTTGAGTACCCTGGTATTTGGTGCATATATATTTATGATTGTTCTCTCTTCCTTGTAGTCCAGACTGGCCTTGAACTTGTGGTGGTCCTCCTTCCTCAGCCTCCCAAGTGCTGGGATTACAGGCCTATGCCACCATACCCGGCTAGCCTTTTATTTTTTAACTTGTGTCTTTATCAATGCTAGTGATATAGGAGGTTAGGGTGTGGCAAAAGGTGCATGGGGAAGTAGGCCTGCCTGTTAACTACAAAATCCTGAAGGAATTTGCAGAATTTTCCAAAGCCCTGCATGTGGACTTCTATGGGAATTTTAGCAGGTTTTCTATAGGATGGCGTAGACCTGAGATTGACCTGAGGCTTGGGACCCAGCACTGCCTATTAAGACCCCTGTGTAGAAGTTCTTTTGGGTTTCCTTGAGATTTGGTTAGGATAAAAGAAAGGCAGCTATGTGGAGTGGTGATATCATAACTTTCCATGATAGCCCATGCTGTTTCCCAGAGGCAGAGTGTACTTTTCTCTTTGCTCTTACCCATTTTTTCTCTTTACTGGGCTCAAGCTCACTCTGCAGAACCAGTTTCTCCCCCACTCTTCACTTTTGCTTTTTGCCATTGCTTTTTTGTTTCTTTTGTTCAATTCTTTGTTCAAGTGATGAACCAGGAATTTAACTCCAGAAGGAAGTGAGCAACCCAGAATCCTGTAACATTTAATTGTCAAGCCACTTTTAGAAGCAGACTATCTGGTAAGAGTAGTGTGTGTGTGTACACAGTAACATGTTAATATGTGAGACTCTGCTAATATGTGAGACATGCTAATATTGAGAATCTCCAATAAAAATTTTTAAAAATCAAAAAAGTATCACTTTTAGTAAAACTGAATTTTAAGGAAAATATAAGGATTTATTGTCATTGGCGGAAGCAAGGCACATAACTTCTGTACTATTTTTTTAATCTTTGTGGTCCTAAAATTATTCAAACGTTCATAATTTCTTGTTGCTGCATTTCTGTGATAGCTTTTTTGAAATTCTTGCCTGTTAATTGTGTCATCTTTGTGATCCCTACATTGTTGCTGTTGATTATCCTTATTCACCCAAATTGAGATTTTTCCTGGATTTTTTATGGCTCTCCTCATTTGGAGTTATATCCTAGACATTTTGAGCATTATGATTCTGGCTCCTTAAACTTCCTACATTAATTAAGAGTCACTGGGGAGGAGGGAAGGTACTGCCTCTTTGCTGTTACTCACCTTGTGTAGCAACAGCCAGTAGTACTCTACTTCACAGTGGCTGCAGATGCTTGTGGGAGGAGAAGAGCCACCTCTTCTCTAGTTCCTTCAGGGTGGAGATTAGCAAGGTTCTATCCCACAGACTGCATAGCATTAAGTCTTTGGAAGTTGATGTGTTTTTCGTCCAAGGCTTTTGATTGTGATAATTAGAAGGAGGAATAGGGTGCTTTTTCCAGCTTGTCTAGATCAGTCTCGTTAGACATTTCTGTGTGTTCTAATTTTATTTATTTGCTCTGTTTATTTTGTTTTTCAGGCAAATGAAGATAAAACAATGTCTGCCAACCTAAAATACCTTTCTTTGGGAATTTTGGTCTTTCAGACTACCAGTTTGGTTCTAACAATGCGTTATTCTAGGACTTTAAAGGAGGAGGGACCTCGTTATCTATCTTCTACAGCAGTGGTTGTTGCTGAAGTTTTGAAGATAATGGCCTGCCTTTTATTAGTCTACAAAGACAGTAGTAGGTATCTAGGTTTTTTTTGTTTGTAAATAATTTAATTAACATATATGTAGATATGTATTGGTAATTACACATTTGAGTTCTTACATTTTTCTGGTTGAGCTAGTAGTAAGAACATTGAGTATTTTAAAAATTTTTTATTGGGCCAGGGATTTGGCTCAGTGGTTCTGCCGCCTGCCTTGCAAGTGCAAGGTCCTGATTTCTATCCCTGGTACCAAAAAAAAAAAAAAAAAAATTTT